AGGCTAAACTTAAACGTCCTGATTTAAACAAAACAGAAAATACACATTGTTTACTTATTTGTTCGCTGCCTACTTCAGTAAGATGCTGGTCAGATTAGATGTAACAACGCGAAAGAGGCCTGCAGCAGCCGCCCTGTTACAACGCAGAAGCAAACGAGCTACGCTCAAGGCTGAGATGGGAAACAACTGCTGCTGCTACGACAGTGTAGACTTTGCCCCTCTACTGATTTATCGCCTAATAAACGCACCGATCCGGGTTCGGCACGATGGTCACCTGCACAGGGACCCCGGGCCGTATTTTAGAAGTCCTTGCGTTGAACTCCTTGCAAAACGCCATCATGTTGATGCCTGCATGCAGTTAGCAGCAGCAAAATGACCGTCCTGAAACCCCCCATCATATGCATGGGAATCGATGAGACAGTCTGAATGTAGTAGCTGATCCTGAAGCGCTTGAAAAGGTGGGGGGAGGACTGAAGAAGGAAGGGGTGAATATACAAAAACAGTACATAGAATAAAATATATACAATATATGTATTTTATTGTGATGCATGACGGACCCAGAGGGCCAAGCGTTTGCCCAATTGACGGCGACGGTTTTGCATTTGCCGCCGGAACAATCAACCGAAATCTTCCCAAGTTGTTCATTGCACCATCAGTGCCTTCTTAGATTCTTCAGCGCGAAGACAGCTGAAAATGTATCCTCGGAGCCGCTGAGGCGGTGATGCGGCGAGGCTTGCAAAACCAACAAAATTATTGAACTGAAGCTTCGACCGCGTGAACGGACTGCCTCCAACTTTGTTAATCAAGCGGATGGTCAGTAGAGGGCGATCAGAGGACAAACAAGCCACAAGGAGCTGAAAATCTGGAAATATTTTCGTGCAACATCGCGCGAAAAAAACATCTGCCTAAGACGACGGGAAGTAGATGGGCGGGTGCTGGGCTAGTGGTGGTTGGCCATCTATACAAAAAGTCTAGGGAACATGGAGCAAACAGACTAAATTTCGAAGGAAACAGAGTTTGTTTTGTTGGTTATTTAGCAGGGCTGCTTTGCGTAGCCGCGCAGATCCTCGTCGGTAGTACAGTCTGCATGCGTTGAGGAGCCTCAGCCCGAAACACGGGCTAGAAGGAGGGGGAATTGAAGTTTAAAACAATTTAAAGCATTTCTTCGTAATTTACGTTCAACAGACATCAATATTCTTACTATTTCCGAAGTTCTCCCGCTTTCTTTCTCTCCATCGGCAGCGGGAGTGGAACGGTGGTTGTCATGGCGTGCTGCTTCCTCGGCCGCCTGCGAGGAGCTTATTGGGAATAGATCTGAAAAAGTATCCATATTTGTTTTCCTTCCTTTTTATGAAGGAGAATCTTAAATAGCTCGGAGTAGCAGCAGCGCAGATCGCCAGCAGGCGCCGGCAAGATGGCGGACCGGAAAGTTCTTGTGAAGTATTACCCGCCTGATTTCGACTTTGACAAGTTACAGGCCAAGAAGAAAGCACTGCGAATCCATCAGCAGCAGCTAAAGAGGCGCAGAGGAGATGTCTTCGACCCTCCCCAGAAAAAACATAGAAACAAAATTATGAACGTCCGCATGATGTACCCTTTCACCCTCAAATGCGGAACTTGCAGCGAATTCGTTTACGTCGGAACCAAATTCAACTCCAGAGTCGAGAAGGTCGAGGTAATTATGCCAGAAGCTTCAGCATAATAGATGACTTGTTCATCAACAAGTGGTTTACTGGTCAATGATCTGCTGTTGATGTATACGTGTTTATTAACCAGCAAATGCCTTCTTCATAATCAATACATTTTGTTTGTTCACTTTTTTTTTCGCCCCCGTTTTGCTTGTTTTTGTAAGGGGGTTGCATTGTGACTGCCTGCTTGTTCCTTCAATGTGTTTGTTTGATCTCTTAATTTGTTTCATGTTTCTGCTGTTTGCGTTGAACTGCTTATCAGGGCGAAGATTATCTGGGGATAGTTAAATGGAGGTTTTACGGTCGCTGTCCGCATTGCCGCGGCGAAATTTGTTTCAAGACAGGTCGGCGGCATTTCTTCTTTTTCACTTCATCTTCTTTTCTGTTCTTTATTTGAACACTGCTTTCCTTTTCCCCCCAATATATGCGTTTGTCTACCTATTGCTGTTTTGCCTTCTCTCTTTGACGCAATATATTTCGTCTTCGTTTTAATCGAGCTTCTTTCTCTTCGTTTCCCTTTCTTCTGCCGTTACGTTCTGTCAGCTTTTTTCTCCTTTGCTTTTTCCTTATCACCTCAAGCAGCTTCTCCCATACACCCAGGGCTTAGCCGCGGGTTTATCTTTTCTTCATGCTTAACGTTTTGCTCGGTTTGCATTTTTTCCTTGACTGCTTCATCTTTTTCTTGATTTACATTTTATTCCTTCTGTGTTTATATTTTGCCTTCCTCAAATTTTGATGTTTACCTTATTTGTGTCTCATGTTCTCTCGTCGTCTCTAGCGTTTTTGGCTTGTATAGCGCTCTATTATTTTTAACTTTTGTTTTTCCTTCACAGACCCGCAGAACTGCGATTACGTCTTGGAGTGGGGCGGCACGAGGATGTGCGACCCGTTGCGTGATCAGGCCTTGGCTGAGGAACGCATGCAAAAGGAGGAGGTAAACAGCCGATTTGCTTACTATTCTTTGCTATTTCAATTCATACTTCAGATAACATCACGTAGTATTATTTCAACAATTTCTGATGCGAGACAGCCCTCGCCTGGGTTCCTGGTGCACAACATACATACGCCTGCTGGTGGCCTATTCACATCTGGTTTTTTGATATGTTTGTTTTTTTGTTTGTTTTGTTCATCTTCTTGTTCAGGAGGAGAAGCTGGCTACTGACAGAGTGTCACAGGTGGAGGCCTCCCGTCAGGGC